TTTCTGTTCTAACAAGTTCAGTGTATCTGGTTTTATATTGAGGTCTTTGCTCCACCTGGGCTAGACTTTGGTGATACATATGGATCTATTTGTATTTTTCTACAAGCAGACACTCAGTTTGACAAGCACCATTTGTTGAAAATCTTTTACCTCATGTGTATTTTTTGTTTCTTTATAGAAAATCAGGTGTCCATAGGTGTGTGCATTTATCTCTAGGTCTTTAATTTTATTTCATTGATATGTATGGTTGTTTTGTGTCAATATGATGTTATCCCTATAGTAAAACTTGACTTACATGGATGTCTATATCTCTAAAGTAAAACTTGAAATAATGAATGATAAGACCTTTAACAGCCTTTTTATTATTTAGAATTGTTTTAGTTATTCAGTCTTTGTTTGGTTGCTCGTTTTTGGTTTTTGTTTTTCTATACAAATTTGGGCATTGTCTCTCAGAAATACATAAAGAATTTTGCTAAACCTTTGATGGGGATTGCACTAAATCTGTAGATTGATTTGGTTGCCTATACATTTTTGCTATACTAATCTTACACATCCATAAGCATGAGAGATTTTTCGATCTACTGATATCTTTTTAATTTCTTTCTTCAAGGACTTGAAGATTTTATCATACAATTCTTTCACTTGCTTGGGTAGAGTGACCATAAATATTATACATTATTTGAGGCCATTACTCCCTTGATTTCTTTCTCAGTCTGTTTGTCACTAGTAGAGGACTACTGATTTTTTTATGAGTTAATTTTGTTTCCAGCTACTTTGCTGAGTGTTTATCAAATGTAAAAGTTCCCTGGAGGAAAATTTAGGGTCAATTATATATATACTTGCATATCACCTGCAAATAACAATACTTTGATTTTTTTCCATTCCAATTTGTATCCCGTTGATCTCCTTCAGTCGTCTTACTGGTCTAGTTAAGAATGCAAGTACTATATTGAATAGATAGGGAGAGAGTGGACAACTTTATCTTGTTCCTGATTTATTGAAATTGCTTTGAATTTATTTCCATTTAATTAGACTATAGGCTTGCTGTAAACTGTCTTTATTATGCTTAGGTGTGTTCCTTGTCTCCCTAATATCTACAGGATTTTTATCATGAATTGGTGTTGGTGTTTTGTTTCATAGTTTCTGTTTCCTTTCTGGATTTTTGGAGAGTGTGTTGGCCAGTGTCTTATGTTGCCTAATTTCTTGGCCTGCTTAACCGGTGTGTTCACTGGGAATTCCTACGGGGAGGTTGGGGGCTTGGGGGAGAACTTTAGGCTGGGATACTTGGATGAGTTGGGGGAAGGAAGTTTGGAGGAGAAAGTTTTTGTGATCCCTTATGGATAGAGTCAGGAAAGGAAGGGAAACCTCAGCAGGTTTCCATCTACAGAGCTGGGGAAAGACTGGAAAAGGAGAGACTGGATCTCAAGAGCAGCAGGAGAGCTATGAGTCTGTCTTCAGCCTACTGGTTACCCTAGGAGGAGCAGCCCTTGGGTTAATGTTGGGTGCCTGCTGGAGTTTCAGGGTAGGATACAGCCACAAGTTGGGGGAGGAAAGTTAGAAGATGATGTCCTGTGGGAATCACAGGAGATGTGGTCTGAGTGGACAGAAGGCTGTAGCTGATGTTTTGTTGCAGCCCTGGGTGTGAGACTGGGGGGTTGAGTCTGAAAGAATAAAGAGAAAGGAGAATGTTTGTGAGCAACTTACTTGGTTTTCTGTCAGGCTACCTAATAATTAGTTTAGAGTTAAGGAAGTTAATAGAAACTAATTCAACTAAAAATATGAATTCAGTACAAAGAGAGGAATTAGTAAGTTATGAACAAAATGGAAGAATAGTCTGCTCCAACCTGGTTGAGTAAATTGAAATAAGTGCTGACTGAATCAGGTTTCCTCTCCCTTCATATCAGTTTTTCTCAGATTTGAGGTTACCTTGCTGGTTCATTAGCAAGTTTCTCTTCCTCTATCCATCTTGCAAATGTGAATGCATGAATGAGGAGGAAGTAGTATGCCTCACATCATATGCACATAATAAATGCACTCAGGATGCATTGCTCACTTTGCCTGATGTTAAATTTTTCAATTGGGGAAACTTCTTTGGAAAAATGTCCTGAAATTTAAAGGCAAAGTTGAGTCACCAGGGGTTAAAAAGAGAAAGGTCATAGTGACTCAGTATTCTATCCTGGTTAGAAGAAGAAGAAGTAAATGGCAATTCAGACCTCTAAGAAGAAGTTTGACTGCCTGCCACACAGGCTTTTAAATTGATTTCAGAAACCACATATCCTAAGGGTATTTAGGATTAGTTGATTCGCCACATGAGTTTGCTCTCTATTTGTAAAACTAAATTATTCGACTTTCAAGAATTTTACACTGCAAGAGTGAGAGAACTGAAATCATACTACCTTCAAGTCAGAAACCGTCAGAGAGAAGTTGGAGGGACACAGTCCTATGTCCACCCTTGAAGGGCCTTATGTAGGTGTGTGGGTGTATATTAAAACCTAGCATGGAGATAACCCCTAAATTTTTCTTTCTTTCTTTCTTTCTTTCTTTCTTTCTTTCTTTCTTTCTTTCTTTCTTTCTCTCTCTCTCTCTCTCTCTCTCTCTCTCTCTCTCTCTCTCTCTCTCTCTGTCTCTCTCTCTCTGTCTCTCTCTCTTTTTCCGGGTTTTTGTGGACCAACCATACTGATCAAAATTAGTTTTTTATATTAGCACAGAACAGTTAAAAACAATAAATACTGACGTTTATCTGATTTTACAATTTTAATTTCATTGTTAAAAATGACTATTTGCTTTTCTCCTTTTGTTGTCAAATTCACATTTCATGAAATGGTAACACAGCTATTATGACCCAGCAGCTACTGTGGAATGAGAAGAAGAAATGTTGAACTTTCAGAATAAACTTCCAATGGTTCATTGACTTTGTCTCACCATGGGAAAAGAAAAAAATCACTTAACCTCCCAGTGTCAGTTTATCCATCTGTGAAATGAGAAGGATAATATTTTCTTATGGGGATATTTTGAAAATTATTCTGCAAATGTAGTAGATAAAACTGTGGCAAGCATCACTAACTTTTCTCCGTGAATTCTTTAAAGAAGCATACAGTATTATTTATGTACTTGTTGCTAGTCAAAATATCATCTGAGTCAAACCATGTATATTTATTAGCAGTTGTGATACTTGGAGTCACCCCTGGTGACTTTATTGCTCAGTGTATGCATGTTATTAGCACCAGGAGATCGAAGAAAAGCACCTTAAAACTGTACTGAACTCCATATTCATGAGATGATAATCCCAGGCAACTAGTTAGTCTCTATGTCTGAGCTCCTGTTTGTTTGGGTGTTTTGATTCTTGCTCCACCTCACTTTACAAGACCAATAGTTCCCTGTGCTTCCTGCTAGAGGTCATCACTGAGTGGAAGACATGATACACTCCATGTTTCCTCGTGAATTTCAAGTAAACTATCAAAGAATATATTATTCAAAACTCCAATGTCAAATTCAAAATTCATCTTAAAGCTTAATGGGAAGTGTCCTGGGGAGTTGTCATGGTGACTTGAAGGGGTTGACATAGAGAAAGGTAAAGCTCCTGATAAAAGATTTTAATACTCCAAAGTCTTAATTATGGAATGTGGTCGTGAACCTCTGTACTCATGTCATTTAATGCTGGAAAGAAATGTTTCCCTTCAGGCCCTTTTGTCTCTTCTGGTGCCAATCAACAGGCATCTTGGTAATAAACTTCTTTATGCCAATGGCTCCCATATAACCTCAAGTGGTGCTTGCAATAATGATAGAATCATTACAAAGTAAAGCAGAAAAGAGAAATACATTTCATGGGTGTGATTAAGCCATCCTAATGTCCTTGAATATGTAAATTATTTTGACTTAATGAACTACCTTGCTCACATAATAGTATTTTAACCTGACTCTAGTACATCCTTTTTTATCTCTGCAAAGGTTTGTTATCAAATTTGACAGAGTTTTTGTCCAGATCAGTGCAGAAATGAAATGTTATATTTGTGGAGTAACTTTGTTTAAATTATTAGAAGTGTACTTCTTAGGTAAATTTATTACATAGATTGCATTAATAATTATTATAAAACTTGGTTGTATATTGACACTAAACAAATTGATAATTCATTTAAAAATTTAAGAAGATGTATTTTCTTAATCACAAAGAAAGATAATTATTACAGAAATGTTGACAAAACAGCCATAAATATCTCCTTAGGTAATAACCATATATGCATGTACACACATGTTGGAGTATGTATACTTGCTGTGGTTCTGGGGAAAATATATCACTATTGTTAGTCAGGCTGACTACAAACTCCTGGAATGCAGGGGCTCCTTCAGCTTTCAGTGTAGCTAAGACTATATACAAGTGCATACCACCACACAAGGATTTTGAAATATTTCAAGAAATATTCTACAGGACGAGTATTCTTTATAGAATAGTCACATTGTTTTGCCAACATTTTGCATTTTAGAAAAAGCTCTATAAGGTTTCCCAGTAAAGTAGGATTCATTTTTCATTTCCCTTATCATAAATATACTCTAAATTTCTGGTTTTTATATATTATGAGCTTTGTTCTACATTATAAAAAGCTACCAGGGAAGTATTCTATGTGTTTCCTAGGATCCTGCAGAGAACTTAATTCATGCAGCATCATTTCCTGCCTTACCTCCAACAATGATTCCGTCTCCCACCATAAAACCAATTCTTGGCCAAGGGAAATGAAAAGATTATTGTATTACTATTGGAATATATCTTTATGAGTGCCTAAGAGAGATACATATTCTGAGAAATTGAATAAAATATAAAGAAAACATAATGGTGTGCCAGTAGGGTGGTCTAATGATTTCAAATTGCTTTTCTATATTTTGTCTTATATAACTTTCATAGCTTAAGTTTTATTTTGAGTAAATCCTGATGTCCAATGTAGAACATGGAAATTAATCATTTTATAACTTTCATTTAATCAACATTTTCTTTAATCTCCTTTTAGGCAGCCAAGGGCAGTTTCCACTAACTCAGAATGTCACGGTTGTTGAAGGTGGAACTGCAATTTTGACCTGCAGAGTTGATCAAAATGATAACACCTCCCTCCAGTGGTCAAATCCAGCTCAACAGACTCTATACTTCGATGACAAGAAAGGTGAATATATTTTCTCAGAAATGTTTTAAACATGTTCTGAAATACCCTAATTATAATGAATTTATTTTCCTAAGATGATTCAAATTATTCCTTTTGATTACTAAACTGCTGCTGCTTGTACTTAAACATGATAAATATTAAATACTTTACTTTGCAAGTCATAAACACCAAAGACAACCTGTGTCAACTTTCTAATAAAATAAACAGCTTCAGTTCTATTTCAAAATGCTTTCACTGCCTGCTCCTCACACTCATCTGAATGCTACATTCTTTCATTTTAGGAGTGTTCTTGTTTGTAGAATGAATTTTTTCTCATATTGGATAAGATACTGTTATTTTATGAACTTTATTTTACATGTTTAAAGGACTCTTTCATTGGAAAAAGTTTTGTCTTACAGATTTATTCTCAACAATTGCATCGGCAAGAAAAATACTATGATTTATCTAATGCTTTATCTAATAAATGATTTATGATGAAATGATTTATCTAATAAGGATAACTATAGCCATGTTCAAAAAGTAAAAATTCATTAAGAAACTCTATTTAAGCACATAGAAGGAAAGTAGACCTGGACTCCATTAATTATTTAAGGAGGCTTCTAATTAGGTAAAACATAAATTAGGATTTGAATGTTTTAGTGGTGAAGAAATCTACAGTCTGAAACTTGAGCAAACATCTAATAATAAGTCATGTTATTAATTTTCCATCCACAATTATATCAGTAAATAAAACAATGAGTTCATGAAATGTAATAAAAAATATGGAAATATTTATAAATAAATTTGTGTTATACAAGGTAGAAAATATGACTTAGATATTACATAATTAATACATTTTACTTCTGATATTTATATGAAATTTTGCATATAACAATAAGAAAACCTAAAATTAGCTTAATTTTTAGCTATCCAAATTTGACTAAACAAACTATAATAAAGATGCATACTCCACTTAACATATACATTTATGGGATTTTTCTGCCTTTAATGTTATCAATAGAAAATAGTTTTGAAGATGTTTAAGTTTTTAATATATAATGAAACATTAGCTAAATATGAACTTAAATAAGTTGAAGTATATTGAATGCCTCTGCACTAGCATTTGGGAGAAAATAGAATAATTGGAGTTTCTGCTCTGATACATAGCATAGATGACAAATAAGTAAATGGACAGAACATGTTACATGGTAACTTTTGAAAATCCACAGATATGGATTTGATTCTGTGTTAGTTAAGATTATATGAAGAGGGATTTGAAACATGGCTCAGAGATTGAGTGTGTACTAGACTTCAAAAGAACCCAATCTAAGAATCCCCGGTGAGAGGAGTAATAGAATAGATGAATGAATAGTTGACTTGCCTTTTGAGCAACTATCTTATGTGATTGTGGTGGAAGACAGTTTTAAAATATTTAAGGGCAGGCTGTGGAGCTACAGAAACAAAGAATTGTCCCTTTATAGTCTGTGCCTAAAAGTAGAACTGCCTTCCCAGCAGGGTTGCTCAGAATTTCTCTCAAGGTCTTCAACAGATTGAATGAGATCCACACACAAGAATATTCTGCTTTAATAAAATATCTAAATATTGCAGTACATAATAGTTTTACAGCAGCTTGTAATATCTTGTTTTACCAAATATTGAGGACAATAATTTCCTCTTTCCAGTGAGACATGCATTCCAATACAAGCAATGAATGGGACAAGCCATGCAGAGTAATAAAGGCATGCACCCACTATTCCTTTGCTAATCACAGTTTTTCTGTCTGAGGTTAGGTCTATAGGAACTGTTTACTTGCATAGTAAGTCTTCAATATGGTATATTGTTATATAATCATACCTTACACTTTATCTTTGTGTACATATCTGAACAAAGGTAAAGTATATAATTTAGTAATATTTCCCTTTTCTATTCCTGCTTTGAATTAAACAATATTGCTTAAGAGTACATTTTATATGTATGTTATATAGTGTATGTTCACATATGACTCTGTTGTGTGTGTGCATACATGCCTGCATGTGTGCATGTGGATGCACATGTGTATGTGAGAGCTTGTTTCAAGTCCACAGGACAGTTTCAAGCATTATTGCTCAAGAACACTGTTATCTTATTTTGACACTTAGCATTCTCAGTGCCCTATAACACACAAAATAAATTAGGCTAGCTAGCCAGTGAGCTGGTGGGATATACTAGTCTCTGCCTCTCCAGCACCAGGATTATAAGATGGGTACCACCACACCAGTTTTGGTGGTGATGGTGGTGGTGGTGACGATGGTGGTGGTTTTGGTTGTATTTTATTTAAAGATAGTTTAGCACTTTATCAATTTAGTCATCTCCCAGACAGTAGATTTTTTTAATGTATAAAATACTACCAAAGGAAAATTTGTCACAACTATTAACCATGGGCAATATAACATTAAACCTCTCTATTGTTGCTCGATCATCACACTGTTGAATGCTAGAAAGTTCTGCTTTTAAATGGATGCCATATGTCTTCAGGATGAAGAGAGTGTACTTACATTTGACATTTACAATTGACAGGTCACATCCTCAGGCACAAAGACAAAAATCTATACTAACTGCCCTGGCTTCCCTTCCTGTGGTTCTATAAGTTATCCTTTTCAGAGCGTCTAAAACTGGAATTGATTCTGAGTATTTTTAGCTAATGCATTTTTCCTGTCATAAATAGAGCAACTTGTAATATAATAGCCGCAGAGTTGCAAGTAGGCAACTCTTATTCTGAGGGATATACATGCAGTGTGGAAAGCTCAGAGTACACTTATAATATCTACCTATATATTCTTCCATCTTTGGGCTTTTGTAAAATACATAATGCAACTGATCACATAAATTCTTGAAGTACATATGTGATTCACTGTTCTTTTCTTAAACGAACAGTGCAAAGGCCGAGCTACCAACCCCCACCCCATTACACCTCTCTCATTGTATACCAGATTTCTGGCTATTCTGTCAATTAAATTATCAACCGGATTACTATAGGAGAGAGAAGTTTTCAGGGAAACTCTTCTATGAAGGCAAGTCAGACATGGTTATTCCTTCACTTCTCAGTGATTCAGTTCATATATAATATCTTATTTGAATGAATATCTAACAGTAATGTTCCACAGATATATGCATTTGCAGATGACATATACTTGGAAAGGTAAATCCTTAAGTGTTTCTATTTGTGAAGAGTGTAGAATGTAGAAAGATGGCTAACTTGTCCATATAGAGTTAGAGAAGACCTGCTTACTTAGAGTGATGAACTATAACAAAGCATGCCTGACATTGAACAGGTGATACTCAGTTAAAAGAGAATCAACCTGAAAATTCCAGGTGAAGGTGTCTATCAAATCGGAGGATCCAGGACACCATCTTTATGGAGGCACATATGGGACCTGAGGTTACTGGTTAACATGAAACTTTCCTGACCACATTTATAATCAAAGTTAAATACAAATTATGATCTATTCTACATTTTTTCATGTTTATTATAGTAAGTAACTTCCACAGATATTAGAAAGAAATAAGGATAACTTCCACAGATAGACATAAGATATTCAAAAGCTACGGAAACTTGTTTCCAATCTACAGCTAAGGGGAAGAGTGAAGAGATTTTAATCCTGACATTTAGCCTTCGTTGCAAGTAACATGTCCACATAGAGAAAAATTTCAGCACATTTGCCCTTATCTGTTTTTATTTGGTTGTTTGAAACAATGTTTTATATATCCATGGCTGACCTTCAGTTCTCAGGAAAGTTTAGGAAGACCTTGAATTCCTATTCCTCCCATCACTACCTCTACAGTGCAAACAGGCATCATCACACACCAAATTCCAGCATCTGTGTTTTTGCCACCTACTTCTTTCTTAAAGAGCAGATACTCCCTTTAATGTGTTGAAAGAGACACATTGCAAGTGTTTCTATAAAGAACAATTATTGTCCTGTGCCATGTCTGAACACTTCAGTAGCCAGATGTACATATCTGTACTTAGACTCTTTTAAGGTGAATAAAATTCCACAGCTTAAGCACATTAATCACACACCAAACATTATATAGCTGACAGTTACTCTTTGGAAACACGGTTCTGGAAGTAGATTGTTCTTTACCTTGCATAGCAACATTGTTGAAATATAGACACAGGTAGTAGAATATAAAGCTGGCAAAGAAGAATCACATGCCCATCCCAAACTAGGCATTCAATGTTAAACAAAGGACATTTGTTGTTGAAACGATAGCCATTGGATCAGATACGGCTTTTGATCCTGCTACTGACTAATAGAAAGTGATTATTGACACCTCTCCAAATCAGGTGGTCTGGTAGTTGGATTGGAACCTCATTTTTATTAGGTTCCTACCTGTTCTGTTTATACTTGAAGATAAGAAGACATTACCCTTTGAAGTAGAAATTCAGTTACATTCCCATTCTTTTTTTGGATTGCTATAGATAAGTTATTTTGTTTAATATTTAGAAATTTTTAAAAGAGTAAATGAAAAATAAAATCAAGAAGAATGTGCTGGAGTCCATGGGGTTTAGAGAAAGCTTGGCTTGTGTTGCTAGGCAGCATTTACTTGTTAGCATCCTCCTCATTCAACTTACACAGAACTCATCCCTACTGTTCTAAATGGTTGGTAAACAGGTGGAACAGTGTGAGTATGTGAAGACAGAGAAAGTGCAGAACAGAGGTCATTATAACTCCACAGGAATGTTGTGTGGTATTTGACAATAGAAATAAAAAAAAATCAATTAGATCATAGTGTCTGTTTCTCTGCAGGCAAAGGATAAAACAATTGAAGTAGCAGAAGCTGATCATTTCATTTTCCAAAAACAATTCAACCCGTTCCTATTGACAAATACCTTAGCAAGCATCTCTAGGAGCACACACTGTGCACATTCAACAGTTGCATTTCTCTGTCCTTGGACTTACCGTCATTTAAAAATGTGAAATACATTACTCTGTGATATTTTACTTTGCCAGATTTTTGATGGGGAGATGGCTTTACTT